GGGAACTTTACCTGGTTCCCATTTCAGGCTGGCTCAACCTGGGAACTTTACCTGGTTTCCATTTCAAGGCTGGGTCAACCTAAGAACTTTACCTGGTTTCCATTTCAAGGCTGGGTCAACCTGGGAACTTTACCTGGTTCTTATTTCAGGCTGGGTCAACCTGGGAACTTTACCTGGTTTCCATTTCAGGCTAGGTTGTCCTGGGAACTTTACCTGGTTCCTATTTCAGGCTGGGTTGTCCTGGGAACTTTACCTGGTTCCCATTTCCGGCTGGGTTGTCCTGGGAACTTTACCTGGTTCCCATTTCAGGCTGGTTGGTTAATCTGATGGTCAAGGTAATTTTTTTCCTACTCCGTCAAGGTAACAATTCAAGGACCCTATTACACCAGTAGTACGTCAGGTATATGATTGCATTTACTACCCAGGACATTTTCTTAGCAACTATTTAAGTATCGATATCTGAGCAACGGTCAAAATCCCCCCACCAATCTGCCTGGTATCGATTCAGACCCACACTTTTGTACTAAAGGGGAGCAGCTGGCCACAACACTACCACAGCACTGCGTGGGTCAGAGTTTGATTGGCAGATTTCTGTCTTTCTCTGCTATGATTAATGATCCTTTGTGCTGTAGGGAGATGTGGGAATCAGATTCCACGTGGTGAGACTTAGCAAGACCCACTTTCGTGAAGGTTAGAAGGTAAGTCTTCCGCTATTAGAGCATGGGATTTCAGACCCATTGCTGCCACCACAGCTCTTAGCATTTCTTTATTGCTGTCCTCCTCTCCACGATCTTTGGAACCATCATGGTGTAGTGCAGGGCTATTAAACCGGCGGCCTGCGGGCCACATCTGGCCCACTGAGACCTAGCGATTGGCTCGCAGATCATTGCAAGTGGTATTCTTTCTTCTTTCGTTCGCCATTGCAAGTGGTATTAATGTCCTTGCTATGCTGTGGCTTAGACCTCTGGCCCTTGACGATCCTCATTTTGAAAATGTTGGCACCTGAGTAAACTTAGTTGAATGGCCATGTTGTAGTGGTTAGATGCTCACCACGGGCTCTAAGGATGGGGGGTGGGGAGGGGGGGGGTGGGGTGGGAAAGGGGTAGGGGGGTTCAAATTCACATCATGTTGGATTTTTATGCAAGAGACAGTGACACACATTCTGTGTGTGGATTCCCTTGATGTGGACCTATTTGATATAAAATTGAAACTGCAATTACTTTGCCTGATTACCAAGCAGTCACCAAATGTGTGCTCTCATCACCAGAACCACAGATCAGTTCAGAGTTTTTGCCCTCTCCTATCCATCTGGCCAGGTCATCCAGGTATTGATCTCTTTGCCTACCTTTCGCTCTCTTTCCATCAATCTTGCCCGTTGTTGCCACGTTTTTGAGTCCATTCCTCCACATAACATGTCCAGATAAACATTGACCGTACACGTCTAAATGTTGTAATAAGTGTATGACTTTCATCTGTCTCAGTGCAGTCCTTTGTTTGTTTTTCTATCCTTCCATGATATTCTTTGCTTTCTTCTCAGAAACTATATAACGCCATGAGTAAATGTAAATGACGGCAGTATATTGGTATGGCCATAGGAAATACTCAACTGAGTAAAGTTTAATTTTAAAATCTTGTTAGTTTTCGATATGCTGATGTTGAATTTATATACACATTTTGGTGTTGAGTTCGCTATAATGAGTGTGTCAATATCCTACCCTAGTAACAAACCACACCATGCAATCCTTGCTTGCAGGCTGGTTTGTCTACTGCTCTTTCTGCTTGTCTAGTTACTAGTGATTTTGTTGAATTTTTCTTCTTCTTAGTTTTCATATTATGTTGTGCATTTGCGATTGGTATGTGTGTGTTGTAATATAGGGTTTATGTTTTTTTCAAGTGTTTGTTTGTTACTAACTTCTAGACGGATACTACCAAGATAAATGAAATGGTTAAATGTTACCTTTGGGAAGAGTATTGTTGATGGTTTGAAATGACAAGTTGTTCCAAGCTTGAACAATTGATTTTCTAGTCATGTCTAATTTCGAACTTAACACTTGATTTACAAATTCTCAAAATATAGGGTCATAAACCATTAGGAATTCTGTGAAAAAAGTCCTTTAAAGAGAAGGGGGGGGGGGGGGGGGGGCTCGGGGGGGGGGGGGGGGGGAAATTATAGTGGTCAACTTTTTATTTTTAATTTTTTTGAAAATGGATTTGGACAAAACAATTTTGCACAGATCACTAATAAATGATTTATAAATGTATCCATCTTTACATTGACATTTTATTCTTTAAAATATATCAAGATACAGAAAAAAGGGTAACTAGTGAACATTATAAATGGAATACATTCTCTACGGCCCTTTAAAAAATTATTGGGTGATCCAAGCCTTGGGTGACCCTTTTACCTCTGCCACTGAGGTTTAGGGGGAAAACTTTACGTAATCTTGGCTTTTAAAAACCCGTTAGGTTATAAAGACCCCTGGCCCTCCAGCGCTTTTTTTCAGTTACATTCCTAATAAATGCTGTACATGTGGAATTTAACTTTGCTGTTTGAGAGCGAATCACTGTAGACAGGCCGATATATTAAGTGACTATTTAGTCTTCACAGGACGACATCATTGAAACTTAAATGCCAGTTGTTCAGACAGTTTTCTAATAGCTGATTCTTTGTTCTTTTTTTAAAACATGATTTATAAACATTCTAATTTAAGGCTTTAAATTGTAACATTTTTTCCACGGATATGCTAGACATGACTGATTGGCTATGTAATTTTTAATGGTTGGAAATAATCCAAATTATTTACAATATTTTAAATTGTGGAAATGAATAATGTGCAGCAGATGGAGATGGTATAATAGATCAGATCTGCTAGGACTGTTATCAGCAAGAATAGAAAGCAAGTTGCAGCTCAACAGATTTTTACAGCAGCTGTAACTAAACAAAGATTCACTCTTTCTACTACATCTTTGAACTACTTTGTCATGTCACGCGAGAGTCGTTGATGTTTCTAGGAAGAAAAAGTGGCAAGGAGAAGAGGCAATTTCACCACTTCATAATTCTGTGTAATATTCTAAGTGTGTAGCTTATGGGGTACCATTTTGGGTGTGGGGGAGAATACACACCCCCCAGGACCCCCCCCCCCCCCCCCCCATAAAAGTCAACAAGGGTGCTTCCTTCGAAGTCAGAGTGCATGTGTAGGAAACTAGTAGTTCTGCATACAAATTAGCCACATCTGAAACAGTCCAGTTCTAGAACAAGACCAAAGTCAAGAAGGGGACGAACAACCAGAATTTTCCCGCCTAAGTTTAGAGCCGGTAAATGCCAAGAAGAAGAAGATGCATAACTGCCACCATAAACATCAAGTGTGCTTTGTCAGCTGGCGTTACACAATCTCTAACAGCATGTATATCATTTTGTGTGCACACACACACAAATCTTCTCTCATCTTCCTCTGTCAGCATGCTGCTGGTTGTCATTTGCCGAACTGTTCGGGAAGACTTGGTCGTGTGGAGTGATCTCCTCATTCACCAGACCTTAGCCATCTTGACGTTTTTTTTCTAGAAGGAAAGGAGAATGAGGTCATTGTCAGGTGCCTGGCTAGCTGGATTAGGAGTTCATGCATCTCCACAGATCTCAGTCTTTGGTGTTCTGGATCAATTCCACGGATGATATTCCTCCATTCCACTATCCCAAGCCATCCACGATAATTTCTTTTGGGGTGCCTTTGCCTCTTCTAACAGTAATCTTTCAAGTCGTCATGATATAGGTGCCTTTATGTCTTGATTGATTGATTGATTCCTTTTTGTCTTTTCAAACAATGTTAATTTAATTGTAATTTTGGGGGGTGGGGGGGGGGGGGGGGGGGTCTGGGAACACAACCCTTGGGTGCTGAGTGTAACAGGACTCGCCTCCATGTTACATAGCATAAAACCTGGGTAGTTTTATTCAGACCATGTGCTGATCCTGCATGGTGATCTCTCTCTCAGCCGCCTTGTTTACTTCAGAGCAACTGTAACACCAACATGTTAAGAACAAAGCATGCTACAGAAGCTGCAGAATCAACATCTAAAGAACAAGGGTTTCTAGTGAACTTATTCCAGTTATAGGGCCTTGCTATTAGGGCTTCATGTCTTAGTCTCTTTGAAAACCTTTTAATGACTCATTTCAGCGGTTCAAGAAATTGTATGTACTCTTCTGTAGAACCATGTCTATGAAGCCTCTAGAGTTTTTATTATTATAATTGCCAGTATTTAATGAGTTGTCCTGGAAAATCCATATAGCCGTCAGCTTTAGTGTAACTCTTTATCTGTGAGACCGGGACACTTATTAAACAAGCTGAACAGCACATAAGTGCCTTTGAATACAAATGTTTTAGACCGGTTCTAAGAATATCATAGGTAAAGAAAAGAACAAATGCATCCATACTTCAAGAACTGAATATTGAAGAAGATTAGCTTTTAAAAACGATAAAACACATAAAATGTAAATATTTTGTTCACTTGAAACGTTACGAAAGTTTAGAGAGAACAGTAATAGAGGGGTATATGCCTGGGAAGAGAGGAAGAGGAAGACCAAAGATAAAATGGGTGCAGGATGATCTCCAGATAAGTGTGTCGGACGAGGGGCATCTTGCTTGTGATAGAGAATTTTTCCGGATGGTTGTTTTGGGAACGAGGTTCTGCAAAGGACATGCTACTGACTGACTATGAGTTCAGTTTAGTGTATTCTATCTGTGGTTTTCATGTAGCACACATTCTCCTTGAGCATACCCCCAGAAAAATTAGTCCAGATGGCTGAGGTCTGGTGAATTAGGAGATCACACGACCAAGTCTTCCCAAACAGTTAGGGAAATTCAGGTAATGGACTGTCCAATGTGTCCAGACTTTAGAGAGATCTTAGAGACAGAGGAAGATGAGAGGATGATCTGTTTCCTATTTAATGAGTTATTCTGAGAAAATATATGATTTTCAATGGCTCTGTTCCGTTTTCTCTCACACAGGCTGGCCTGACTCGAACAATTCCAATGCCGTCGGTAAAGGGGAGATGTTTGCCCATGAAAGGCTGGGCACTTCAAGCAAGTCGGAGATTCTGTGGTCAGAAAATGATTCCTTCCAGAAGGCGTTGTCTAAGAGGAAGCTGATGAACATGCGCTCACAGGTAATTGACATGATAATGTTTGTTTGTTACAGGTGCTTGTTGCACACAAGTGAATAAATAAGGTTTTCTGTGTTAAGTGAAGGGGATGGATTTACTTGCGCTGGGTGTTTCCACATGTCGTTTCTGGGAAACAAGAATCTCTATTTTATGGGAAACAAGAATAGACCTACTGCCGCCTAACAAGCATGTCCTAAAAGTCTACTATTTTGGGTGTTTCTTTCAAAGTTGGAGTGCATCTGCCTGAGAGGTGAGGGACCAATAGTCTGCATACAAATAAGCCAGATCTGTGAAACAGATGAGCATTCAAAATTCAATTTCTGGATCAACAAAGTCCAAAAGTGGACAAACAATCCGAACTGCCCACCGGTGTTTACAGCCGATAACGTAAAGAAGACAGAAGAAGTGCATCAGGCTTTATCCCACTACTCTGTCGCTGACAACACAATGGCTAGCCACCTTCCAAAAGCATCGCCCAAAGCACAAACTCGGTAAACCCAAGGACAGTCTCTAGAGATCTCTATCAAAATTACTCTCATAAACGCAAATGAGCCAGTCCATGAAACAGACAACACTGCACTCAGAGTTGCATTTAACACCTCCCCCCCCCCCCCCCCCCCCCCCCAAAAAAAACCAGGAAAGATTTTCACAAAAACTTGTCCTAGTTAGTTGGATTATCATCATCGCACTCTGAACATGTCCATAGGTGCTCAGATCCTCCCCTCAGTATGAATGCCAGTGTCCGGTGGTTGATAGTACCAGTTCTATGTTGATTAACAAGTCCTCTGGTGTGTGTCTCGTTTTTTGCTATGCTGATCTCTTAACTCCCAAGTCTTTCATTCGAGCGTGTGATGTGGATTCACTGTTCCCAAAGTCCTCCACCCTTCCCATTTCTCGGAGAACATTAATATCAGCATGACCCAAAGGTTTACCGTCGGTAGTGATAGCGGATACAGCCAACCGATCAGCTGTTTCATTTCCATTGATGCCCGCCTTTTCCTGAGCGAAAATAGTGTGTCCCGGAACAAAAATTAAGGTGACTTCCTGCATAGGGGACTTTTGAAATGATTCAAGCCATTGCCTTTGCACCGAACCTGCCTGAACCATCCGGATCATACTCATTGAATCGCTGAGTCCACATATGCAGGTGTAGTTTTGTGTTTTGAGCCACGCAAAAGCTTGCGTTACTGCCATGAACTCCATCGTCATGCTGCTGGTTGTCATGGAGAAGGCCTGGTTAGCCTTTTTGACTGTTCTGCTTGCTGAGCGAGCTGTGAACCTGCTTGTCGATATTAATCAGAAAGTGAACACACCACCTTTCCACAGAGACACCCAGAAGTAAACAGCTTGATGTACTGAGAATTGACATTGCAGCACTCCTGACATTCTTGCATGTGCTCCGTCTCCTTCTTCAGTAGGGAAAGTTAAAATAAAGGATCATTTTCCACACCTTCCAGCCTATTGGGCAAACAGGGATAGACCTCTGTTTTATAGACCATTTGGCAGTCAGTGGGTGATGTAATCAAAACCAAACAGGCCACCTTTACTTCCCATAACTTCACCTCATACCTGTTCAAAGCTGTGTTTACCTAGGAACCAAGGTCTAAAAAAAAAATAATTCCTGGCTCTTTTCAAATGTGAACTCATAACCTGAGAATTAGTCATTCAGACAGCAGTGGAATCTGCACAAGGTAAAATTGCCTGGTAAAACCATAAACAGTTTACGGGCACTGGGATTGGTTTGTACTGTCCTCTAAAGCAGTGTTGCTCAATATTTTTACACGTGTGACCCACCTGACAAACTAACCAAACACAGAAACTAATGTAGGTAACAACACTTTTGTTAAATTCCTTTTTTTTTTCTTCTTTTCTCTACTCCTGGAATTCCTTGTGCCATCAGAGCAGGAAGAGAACTGTGGAATGGGCCCTTCTGTTGTCTTCATATAAAGTACTTTTCAGTTTCTCTGATTTTTCTATGGTTCTTTTGAGTGATCAGTCTTTAGCTCTGTTATCATTGCATCTGTATAACATTGCTGTCTGTGGTGCCCTCTCGGATGCCAATCTTGTTATATGGCCAAACCATTTGATTTGTCTGCCTATAAATTTCAGTATTTCGTTTTGTGCCGACTGTCCTGATATCATTGTTCCTAAGTCGATCTTTCCTTGTTACACCTAGCATAGTACGTAAACATTTCATTTATGTCGTGACTATTTTCCTTTTCTCTTCTGAAGAGGGCATCCATTTTTGACATTGATAGCTTAGCGTTGATAAGAAAATGGTGTTGAACAGTGTTCTTTTAGTGTTTAAATTCACATGCTTGGATTTCAAAAATTTTGCCATTTGGCCTATAACAAGGCTGGCTTTATTGCATCTTTATTGGATTTCTTTAATAATTCTTCCATCTTCTGATAAAATTGCTCCAGATATGTAAAATCCTTCGCCTGCTTTAACTGGTGTTCATCAGTTTTGATACTGGTAGTTCTTCATTCTCTGGAGAATGTCATGACTTCTGTTTTGTCTATTTTGATCTTTCATATCATAGTTGTCGCATTCTGAGTGTAGTCTATTATGTTCTTGTGGTTGTACTGCTGTTGGTTCTCTGACTGCCTGGTCTTGTTTGTGTAAGATGTGAAATGTTTATGGGTGATTCATGAAGTGTTTCTGGACTGTGTCGCCAGTGTGGACAAACATTTACAATGATCTTGGTCAGATCAGGATACAAATAGGATTTGATGGGACTCTGATGATTGTGTATGTTTGTGCATGCCTGCATGCTGCAGGATCAATCTGAATTGATATTTGACTTTTCATGTGAACTTTCAGAGTGCCGCCATGTTCAGATCACAGCAGGATCAAGTCACGGCTCCCCTGGCAATCCCCGAACCCATAGAAATAGCTGATTACAGTAGTGTCAAGGTAATGCTGTTTTCTCATTGGCACTAAGGGTGTTCCATCAGTTTCCATGCAAAAAAAAAAAAAACATTTTTATGTGAAAAAGCATTTTTTGAATGTTGAATCGACATCACAGCACTCAGGACAGCGCTCCATCCCCATCTTCAGCAGCAAGCGAAGAGTTAAAATTCTGATGGTACCAGTAACTGTCTGATTGTATATCTGTCTTGCCTCTCCCCTGAGTGTCGAGCATTGCCCAGATCCCCTTGTAACTCCTCGCAGTGCCATTCTCCTCAGACCGTAATGATCTATCTGTTCCTCTGTTCACTTGCTTCCAAAGAGCCCTCACAACATCCTTGTCATAAATCCTTATTCAGTTCACCACCACGTGGTGCAGAGCCGGCCAGTCTATCTGCCTGCTCATTTCCCAGCACACTGGCATGACCTGGAGAGAATATCCAAAAGTTGCTAATTACCGGGGACCTTTGAAGTGATGCTTACCACTCTGCACGGAGCATGCCTGTCTCCACCTTTCTCAACAAGCTCTGTTTAAACAAAAAAAATATAAAGTGTGTTTTTCATGACTGCCATTGTTGTGAAAACACATTTCGATGTGTGAACTTCACTGCTAAAGAACACATATAAGCAAGGCTGGAGTTATGCTTGTAATGGCGTTGGCGATACGTTAGTTTTTCTTACATATGGAAACTTGTGGGACACCCTAGGGAGTTGCCATGGTGAATTGGTCAAGATATTTACCTCCCACTGTGATGGTCATTGGTTTTTTTCAGAGACTGTCATTTAGAGTAAATTTCTTAGGATAGAACAAACTAAACTAACAGTTTGGGTAGACAGGGTTAACATTGTCACCCCTAAATGCATTAAAGGAAGGCCTGATCCAGAGAAAGCCAATTGCCGACTTTTACAGATTTGTCTATATCTGTGGCCAGTGCGTCGATGTAACAGCTTTGGTACAGGCTGCAACTGCATAATATGTTGCAGGTATTTGGAGAATCTTTCTATAACATTTTAAACTCAAAAGCCTCTGTTTTCATCCCTAATGACTGCGAGTTAGTCCCTCTGGGTTCTAGGGCAAACAAGAATAGACCCACTGCTTCCCAGACAAGCATGTCATAAGAGTCACCTAATTAGAGGTTTCCTTTGAAGTTAGAGTGCATCTGCCTGAGAGGCAAGGAACCAACAGTCTGCATACATATGTCAGATCTGTAAAACTGGTGTGCATGAAACTGGGATTCTGGAACAAGTCTAAAGTCCAGAGGTGGATGAACAACCAGAACTTTCTGCTGGAGTTTACAGCGGGTGAACAAGAAGAAGAAGTGATATAGCTTGATAGAGAAATAGTTAATATGCTCTCATTGATGCTTTGTTATTGTGTAATAGTCAGTGTTATGTTTTCATTGTAGAATGATGTCAGTAATATCGACGAGAAGAAGAAAAAGTGAACCTGTGTTGCATAGCTTGATAGAGAAATAGTTAATATGCTCTCATTGATGCTTTGTTATTGTGTAATGGTCAGTGCTATGTTTTCATGGTAGGATGCTGTCAGTAATATCAACGAGAAGAAGAAAGAGTGAACCTGTGTTGCATAGCTTGATAGAGAAATAATTAATATGCTATCATTGATGCTTTGTTATTGTGTAATGGTCAGTGCTATGTTTTCATGGTAGGATGCTGTCAGTAATCTCGAGCTGGGGGATAATGACTATCAGGTTGTGGAGGACGCCCTGCCCCCTGGTCAGTTGCACCGCATCCGCTCCACCAAATCACCAACAAGAGTCAAAGGTAAGCTTGTGTAGTTTAATCCAGGCTGTGGGATTGTGTGGTTTAAAACAGGTAGTGAGGATTATGTGGTTTAGCTCAGGTAGTGTTATCTATACTGTGGGATTGTGTGGTTTAAAAAAGGTAGTAAGGATTGTGTGGTTTACCTCAGGTAGTTTTACCTAGACTGTGGGATTGTGTGATTGAAAACAGGTAGTAAGAATTGTTTGGTTTAAAAAATGTAAGGATTGTGTGGTTTCAAACAGGTAGTAAGGATTGTGTAGTTTAGCTCAGGTAGTTTTACCTAGACTGTGGGATTGATTAGTTTAACTTATATTTTAGGATTGTTTTTTTTAAATTAGGTGGTAGGATTGTGTGGTTAAATCTGTTCATCCCAGAAACATTTTGGATAAAAATCATTTGAACCCATAAATTCTTGGGTACATTTTTTTTTGGTATACAGGTCACTAATCAATTTTAGAACTGTTTTGTGCACATACAAATTGTGTGTACAGCTGTGGTATGATGGAGGTGTGATCAATAAATACGACTGGAGCAGTGAATTAAATGGATTCATTCCTTTGGTTAAAAATAATGTTCATGCTGACTGATACTGTGATCCTATTTCTGTGCGATCGCTGAGACTAAAAGTTGAATGAGATGGTAGGATTTATGGTTTAACCCAGTCTATTGGATTGTATAGTTTAACCCAGTTAGAGGCTTTGTATTGTCATTTGGAAAGGGGCTCAGTGCGGCACATTATGTTAGGAAGAAGCGATTTTCATGTTTTGTACGCGGGGAGGGGGCGCACCACCAGGGTGTAGCAGCTAGACCCTTGTCTGCGGATCCGAAAGCCAAGAGTTAAAATCCACACAGAGGCTGGTTTGTTTCAAACATGACCTACCTTGGCTCCCAGGTCAACCCAGCTGTAAATAAACCAGGTAAAGTCGTCGAAAGTAAAGATAGACAGCGTGACGTTGACCACATCCACCACTGAATGCCAGCTTGTCTTTAAAATATAGGTCTAGTGTTGTATGCCCGATACACCTGTAGAGTACTTTACTTGTTCTACAAGGAGAACAGGTTCATACTTTTTGCACTTTTCTCTTTCACAGAGGGAACAGATTCATACCTTTTGCACTTTTCTCTATCACAGAGGGAACAGGTTCATACCTTTTGCATTTCTCTCTATCACAGAAGAAACAAGTTCATACCTCTTGCACTTTTCTCTATCACAGGGAGAACAGATTCTGATGATTCAGAATTCTCCTTAGAACGTGAGAAATACCAGAAGGCTGTCAGGCGTCCAACGCCCCACCGGCGAAAATCAAAACAGCGGCCACCATCTGAAAGCAACGCCATCTATGCCAGTCCCATGCCCTCTGGAGGCAAACCTCGGCAGTTTTCTCTCGGAGATAATCAAAACAGAGGAGGTATTTCTTTCATTTTCAGTATTAAAAAAAAAAAATCAGTTTATGATAATCAATGTCACAGTACTTTGTGCATGTTTATGTATGTGTGTGGGGGTGTATATGTGTTTTTATATGTAGGTGTATGTGTTATAATATGCATAAACCTACATATATATTCTGACCATTGAATAATGAGACAGAATTTATAATGTTTAAGACAACAACAAAACAGCATTCATGAAGCAAAGTGGGTCATTCAAATATGCACCACTCATTTATGATTAGGACAAATGGCAATGCCTCTTGATAAGCAGATGACAGATCACCCACCACTTTGTTCAGCAAATGAGAGTTGCTTTGTTACATATGCAGCAAAGAGCAACATTAAATTTTGTTTTAAATTCAGAAAGAATAAAAAGTGCTTTTGGGACAGTTGAATTAATAATAATTGTGCATGTGTTTTAAAATTTTAGAATTTCATTATGATGCATCTGTATTTATTGCAGTGCGCAGCAATTCTCCGTCAGAAGAAGGCAGCGATGGTACGGGGGATGAAGTTCTTGCTAGCAAAAAGAAAGGAAAGAAGCGGAGATCGTTCAACCACAGAAAGTGGAGGAACCCTTCAGCTTCATTAACCCATCAGGGCTCTAGTCCCACAATATCAGTCCACGGCCATCATCTAGGCTCAAATCCAGGTAATATTAACACATTGTCTGACAATTTTAACACATTGTCTGACAATTATATCACATTGTCTGGCAATTTTAATGCATTTTCTGACAATTTTAACACATTGTCTCGCAATTTTAATGCATTTTCTGACAATTTTAACACATTGTCTGACAGTTCTAATGTTTTTTTCCTAGAAGAATAGGTCATGTTCCTAGAAGAATAGGCCATGTTCCTAGAAGAAAAGGTCATGTTCCTAAAAGAATAGGTCATGTTCCTAAAAGAATAGTTCATGTTCCTAGAAGAATAGGTCATGTTCCTAGAAGAATAGGTCATGTTCCTAAAAGAATAGGTCATGTTCCTAAAAGAATAGGTCATGTTTCCTAAAAGAAAAAAGTTGTTTCATGAAAACTTTTTTTTTTGTTTGTTTGTTATAGTGTTCATCTAAAAAATTAATTGTGTTGTGTCCATTTACAGCATGGCTGTGATATTTGCTCATTTTGGCCGACACATCTAACTTCTGCAGGCATTTTTGACCGGATTAGCCTTCACAGTTAGTTTCCCGGGCCATTGCAGTCTCATTGTTGTGTGGTACCCCAAATCAGGCCAGTCCAGAGAAGCCATGTAATGCTGATCAGCCCTCAAAAGAAGGCAGAGCAGAACATGAGCATCCCCCCCCCCCCCCCCACCCCCGCCATCCAAGGAGGCTTCCATAAATGCAGAACCAGTACATAATGCTCTGATACTGAGCTCACCCAAGGAATCGTCACGTCCTCTTTATAGCCGTTTAACCTCACTTCCATACACTTAACTTCTCATACATCACGGGCTACCTCTTTAGAAGCCAACAGTTGGCAGCCCGCAGACCTAGGATTTTGATTACCTACACAGAATGAGTACTATAAGGTAAAGGTAAGGTAAAGTCGGGAGATGTGAACCAGCGTCATTGCACACGGTTATAAACCATAAGTGCTCTGCCACCAGTATGGACAGCTGGTAAGAATTGTCTGCCTGTGTCGCCGTTCCTACGTAACTCCGTAGCTACAGCGACGTTCCTCCATTTACCCCAGCTTGTCAACACTGGTACCCATTTTCTAGAGGCTGGGTGAACCCCGGGAACCGCCGGGTTTCGAACACCGACCGTGGGCTGCAGCGAGTCGCAGAATGAGTACTATGCTTCTTGTGCATGTTAGACTTTTACTACAGGCGACCTCCATGTTTACTAAAGTTTTATGTGATATTTCCCCTGTAGATACCTACAGGCAACCACTGTGACTGTATACGGACAGATGGGCCTGTTTCATTTTCTTCCCACATCAGTCATGATTTCCCCTTTAGATACCTACAGGCAACCACTGTGGCTGTATACGGACAGATGGGCCTGTTTCATTTTCTTCCCACATCAGTCATGATTTCCCCTGTAGATACCTACAGGCAACCACTGTGGCTGTATACGGACAGATGGGCCTGTTTCATTTTCTTCCCACATCAGTCATGATTTCCCCTGTAGATACCTACAGGCAACCACTGTGGCTGTATACGGACAGATGGGCCTGTTTCATTTTCTTCCCACATCAGTCATGATTTGTTCCATGAAAAAATAAACAACAATCAAAGACAGATCTGAAGAGAAAGGAATTGAAAAGAGAGTTTCTGAAGGATATTAAACAAGAGACAAATGAAATGTTTTGGCCATAGTAAAAGACATAACACTCTTATAACAACCATACTGGAGGGAAAATACAGGCTAGCCAGTAAGAGACAGACAGCAATATACATGGAAGGATAAGATCAAGAGATGGATGAACTGCTGAGAGAATGTACATATAGGATGAAAGAGATCCAAAAACAAGTAACAAGAATAGACCCACTGCCTCCCCAACAAGCATGTCATAGGAGTCGACTAGTTGGGAGCTTCCTTTGAAGTCGCAGTGCATCTGCCGGAGCAGCAAGGCACAACCAACTGCACACAAGTAAGCCAGTAATTGGAGGAACACGCAAAACTCAGGGCCTGGCACGAAGACCAAGTTCATGTTGATGAACAACCAGGACTTTCCGCCGGAGCCAACAGCCAGTGAACAAAGAAAAAGAAGATGTGCTACAGAAATGATCTCCATGTTCGAATCCCAAAAATGGTGAAAATATAGGGTGACTGCAGTCAAGCTAATACAAGGAGTTTCATTAAAATTTGACCAAATGGGAAAGCAAAAAATTGTGCACAAAACAGTATAGATAACGTTTGTCAAACATGAAGTGAAGCTCATAAAGCTTTCCTCGTCTTTACCTTTGCATAGTTCACTTCATGTTTGACAAAGGCGGCTGGCCGAAACATTATCTGTGCACATTTTTCTCCACCTGCAGCAGAGAGGTACTAGGTTTGGCTGGTTGACTTTCCAATGGAGATCAAGCTGTGCGATAGAGTGGAAGACATGTGGCACACCTCAGACTTCAAAGAGGCCTGTGGCTTTCTCATCTAAACAAAAAGCCCTGGCAGGGAGAACGGAAAGAAGAAAGATATATTCATTCATTCCTCCTCTGTTCTTCTTTCTTATCAGTTATCTCTGGACTATGATAAATTGCTGGGCACTCCTCACAATAGCAGCCCCAAATTATTTAGATTAAAAACATACCCTTACAGGGCCTCAGTAGGTCATCTATTATAACTAAAGAGTAGAAAGTAAAATGTAGCGAGGAAGTGGACATACAGACCAATAATAGGTAACAGTTATCTCTTGAAATTGTGGCACAAATACTGTCTGAAAACGTGGTCTTTGTGACTGGGCTGCCACTGAAACGCCGCTAAATATGTAGTAAGCAAGGCGTGACTAGTCACGCCTGGGTAACATTGCTTCCATTTGAGTTGCATCCATAACCCTTTAGTTGTTTGGGTGTGAATTTCACTATGTACGCTGTCAGCAAAATTAGTAGCACGAACAACAACTGCATGATCATGGTTTAGTTGACCGACGTTGCTGTAGCTTCATCAGGCAGTGGTGACAATTGTCGTTCCCGGTTAAACATGATCACTTATAATGCGTAGTCAATCCATCCTAATATTACCTATGGAGGCCCTTTAAGGGTAGGTTTTTGACCTAGATAATTTGGGGCTATTATTCAGAGGAGTGCCAAGAGCTGTGATGTATCAGTGTTCAAGGTGACTAGAAGAGCAAGAAGCAGAACCTCATATCACCTTCGATACCTGAAGCAATTAAAGAGGAAGTGAAGAAGAGTGGCAAGGAAAATAACTGAGCACTGTAATTACTGGCTCAAGTTCAGCTTGTGATTTTTTTTTTCTCTCTTATTCCTCAGTGCATTCACTAGACGACATGACCTTGTATCATCCTGTAGTCCACCATTTTCAAACACTACCAAAGGTGAGTCAGATACTTTTCGGTTGTAATAACACACCTCTTAAAAGCTCATTATTTTTAAATTCTACTAAAAGGAAGTTGGAGACTTCTTATTTTAATTGCACATTTAGGTCAGAAAGTCCACCACTTTAAAAATCTGACAGGTCAGCTGGATCTTTTAAACTCCTCAGCTATATCTTTTAAACTCTGACAGGTCAACTGGAGATTTTAAACTCTGACAGGTCAGCTGGATCTTTTAAACTCTTACAGAGATCATCTGGATCTTTTAAACTCTGACAGAGATCAGCTGAAGGTTTTAAACTCTGACAGAGATCAACTGGATCTTTTTTTAAACTCTGACAGAGGTCAGCTGGATCTTTTAAAATCATTTAGACTATTTGTAATAGCATACCAGTTAACCTCAGAAAGTCCAACACTTTAAAATCTTTCGGAGGTCAGCAGGGTGCTTCTAGGTTCATCCGTTCATAGAATTTTTCATTACTATCTGTATTAAATATGTTTTTCTTGTTCCAGAATGTCGGGACCAATACTGGCAGTGGGGTCGCTGGCGGAGATGAAGCAGAATATGATCTGAATGACAGCGGCAACTGGGGCGGCAGGTTTCGATTCAAGACACTTCGGGACCCGGAGAAGCAGAAGAAGAAAGATGAGAGGAGGAGACAAAAGGAAGAGGTGAATCATTTAGAATTGTTTTAATTTCTGGAATTCTCTAATGACAGACGAAAGTTGATGCAACTTCTTTATATTCTTCTGCTATCGCCGCCTTTCTTCTTTCTAAGCTTCTTCTCTGTCTTCTCTTTCTCCTTTGTTGTCATTGTCAAGTGTCTTGCCAGCTGGTGTATGTTTCAGTGGAACTTCTGTGTTTTTTCAACAGGTCCCACATGCACACCCACCTACACATTCATGCTTACATGCATTTGCATTGAAATACCCACCCACACATTCCTGCTCACACGCATTTGCATCTACCCACACATTCCTGCTCACACGCATTTGCATCCACCCACACATTCATGCTCACACACATTTGCATCCACCCACACATTCATGCTCACACACATTTGCATCCACCCACACATTCATGCTCACACACATTTGCATCCACCCACACATTCATGCTCACACACATTTGCATCCACCCACACGTTCATGCTCACACGCTGTTATGTGCAATCCGAAGATTCACACTATTGACGACCGCTAATGAACATGAGATATGACGAGAAACACGATGTCACTTGCCGACAAAAGAATTGGACAGAAGACAGTTACAAGAGAAGTAGGAATGGCGGAGGCTTGTATTGATATGTTCCTGATGCCGCAGTTCGCGGGAGAGCAAAGTCTATGAGCTCCATGTTGGAGGAAAGGAATTATCCTGCCGGCGTCCTGATGCCGCAGTTTGCGGGAGAGCAAAGTCTCTGAGCTCTATGTTGGAGGAAAGGAATTATCCTACCGTCATTAAGTACAGTGATCGTAACATATTCATTTCATGGACACACATTATTTCTGTGGAGAATTGCTGAATAAACGTATTGATATTGTTCCCAAATGAAGAAATTTCAACAGTTGAACTTGTTGATTTTCTGCCTGTCGTTGGGTTTGGCAGTTGTTACCCCTAGAGTAATGAGTTACTTGGACTTGGTACGGCATGGACCTGGGACAATATTTTAACGGAATAATCTCTGTACAGGATGAAATAATAATGATAAAGGCTGTACACGTGCATGTGCATCCACTCACACAATCATGCTCACACACATGTGCACCCACCCAAACAATCATACTCACACCTGTGCACCCACCCAAACAATCATACTCACACCTGTGCACCCACCCAAACAATCATACTCACACCTGTGCACCCACCCACATATTCATGCTCATGCATCTGTGCACCCACCACATGCACTTACACATACATGTTCACGCATGATGCATCTGACACACATGCTCACACACCCATAGGCATTGCTGTCACACATCCACATGTATGCTTACACACATGCATACCCACCCACACATTCATGCTCACACACACACGTACACATATGATCACACACACATGCATACCCACCCACATACACATGCTCACACACACATTTGTGCTCACACGTTTATGCTGTCACACATGCTCACACACCGACACAATTCACACCTTGACCGGTCTGATGTGTTTCAGGAGAAGAAAGCAAAAGGAGCACAGAAGAAATTCAAGAAGAAGGACAAGGCATCAGGCACCTCAACCAGTGCTTTCTCCCTGGAGGATTTTCCCACCTGCCCTGAAGATCCTTGCATCCCCCAGTTTGTGTATAAATGTGTTAGCTACATAGAGGCAGAGGGTCAGTGTTTGCTTATTTATTTGTATTATTTAAAGTTAATGTTTACACAGGTTTATTTGTATTATTTAAAATTGTTTACACAGGTTTTTCTTCTTCTTCGATCCTTCTGTCAGAAAACTTATATCAGGAGGCCGGTAGCCTTTATGAAAGCTATCGTGCAATCCATATCCTCTCGTGTACCATACAGTTTTGTCTTCATTGTGGTTGGAACAGGCCTGATTGTGTCTCTGTGGTCAGCATACATTTGACAGTGTTGGAGCACATGCTCAGCATTTTCGGGTGCCACGCTGCAGGAACACATCTCCGTATTTCCTACACGGAAAAATTTGGACATATGTTGACAAAATCTGTTGTGCCCAGTCCTAAGTCTGAATATAATACACTGTCCCTCTCTAGAGAGGCGATGAAGCGAGTCTTGGGGAGAAAATCTGGTGTGAGTATCCAGCCACCTTTCTTGGATACTAGCTTGTATTAATGTTTTCGTCTCTTGGTGAGTTAAGTTGCTATTTGGTTGTACCATGTCACTGCCGCTTCTGGCCAATCTGTCCGCTATTTCATTGCCTTCCAAGCCACAGTGACCTGGGATCCACTGCAGTACAGATTGTTCTACTAAAGAGCCTAAGTGAATCAGCTGTTGCATCAAGTCTACAAACTGTCTTTTGGGTTAACAATTTATTTGTATTATTTGAAGTTAATGTTTACACAGGTTTATTTGTATTATTTAAAGGTAATTTTTACATTTGTTTTTATTACTTTAAGTTAATGTTTACACTTGTTTGTATTAAAGTTAATGTTTACACTTGCTTGTGTGATTATTTAAAGGTAATGTTTACACTTGGTAATTTTTATTATTTAAAGTTAATGTTTACACTAGGTTTTTTTTATTATTTAAAGTTAATGTTTACACTAGTTTATTATTTTTATTATTTAAAGTTATTGTTTACACTAGTTTATTTTTATTATTTAAAGTTAATGTTTACACTAGTTTATTATTTTTATTATTTAAAGTTATTGTTTACACTTGTTTTAGTTATTTAAAGTTAATGTTTACACTAGTTTGTTTGTATAATTTAAAGTTAATGTTTACACTAGTTTATTTGTATAATTTAAAGTGGATGTTTACACTTGTTTATTTGAGTTACTTAAAGTTAATGATTACACTTGTTTGTTTGTATAATTTAAAGTTAATGTGTACACTTGTTTGTTTGAGTTACTGAAAGTTAATGTTTACACTTGTTTATTTGTATAATTTAAAGTTAATGTTTACACATGTTTGTTTGTATATTTTTAAGTTAATGTTTACACTTGTGTGATTATTTAAAGGCAATGTTTACACTTGGTAATTTTTATTATTTAAAGTTAATGTTTACACTTGTTTATTTGGGTTACTTAAAGTTAATGTTTACACTTGTTTATTTGAGTTACTTAAAGGTAATGTTTACACTTGTTTATTTGGGTCACTTGAAGTTAATGTTTACACTTGTTTGAGTTATTTAAAGTTAATGTTTACACTTTTTTTTTCGGGGGGGGGGGGGGGGGGGGGGGCTGGTTACTTAAAGTTAATGTTTACATTTTTTTTTTTTTTCAGGTTACTTAAAGTAAATGTTTTCACTTGTTTATTTGTATAATTTCAAGTTAATGTGTACACTTTTTTTTTTTTTTTTTTTTTTTTTTTTTTTTTTTTTTTTTTTTTTTTTTGAGTTACTTAAAGTTAATGTTTACACTTGTTTGAGTTATTTAATGTTTTCACTTGTTCATTTGAGTTATGTTAACACTTTGTTTTGAGTTACTTAAAGTTAATGTTTACACTTTGTTTATTTGAGTTACTTAAAGTTAATGTTTACACTTGTTTATTTGAGTTACTTAAAGTTAACGTTTACACTTGTTTGAGTTACTTAAAGTTAATGTTTACACTTGTTTATTTGAGTTACTTACAGTTAATGTTTACACTTTGTTTATTTGAGTTACTTAAAGTTAATGTTTACACTTGTATTTTAAAGTCGAGAGAGGATCAACTTTATTTTCTTCAAGTTGATCCTATACACACACATGCACGCGCTCGCGAGCACACACACACACCATGATTGTAGATTGTAACTGACTCAAAAAGCCTGCTATGGAAGGGGACAAATGCTTTATGTGGGGACGGATGCTTTGTGTGGGGACAGATGCTTTGTGTGGGGACAGATGCTTTGTGTGGGGACAAATGCTTTATGTGGGGACGGATGCTTTGTGTGGGGACAGATGCTTAATGCAGAGTGGCATGCTTTGCTTCTGAGAACATGTGTTAAGAGCATTGTCAGGATCTTTTCTCCGGGGATGCCGATGTGTTGTGGAATGAAATGGTGGACAGATTGGCTGGCTCCACACATCTTGGTGGAATATTGATGCTTGATAAGACAGACCTAATTAGGGCCTTATGGGAGCATGTGTACAGTTCAGAGGAACAAATAGATCGTCACGGTCTGGTGAGAGTGATGCAACAAGTAGATCTGGCCAATACTGGACGCTCAGAAGAAATGCAAGATGGACACATATTCAGACAACTGCTGGTACTATTGCTAATGGACCTGTGCACTTGGCTTCTCAAAGATATTGAAGAGAGTGCTAATGGTTTTCTGTATGTGTCTGGCACTTCTCGGCTGGCTTGGGTGATGGATTTTTCCTCTTTTTGCAGGTTTCGGCTACACCATTTTTCCATCTCTTTTCTTGTTGTTCCTGTCATCTTCCTCCCAGACCTTCTGTTGTAAAAAGTCTTATATACAGTTTGGCCTAGCTGCATTTTCACTAGAGAGCCGAACCATTTCATTCTTTGTCGTGTCAATATAATCCACACTTGGTCTTATTCCGACTCTCTCTCTAATGCTGGCATTTGTAATCCTGTCTCTTCTTGTGTTGTTGGTGACCTTGCAGTGACAGTGCATTTCACGTGTAGTTATTTTCTCTCCTAGTGCGGTATTCATTGTCCATGTTTGGCACTGATAACATAAAGTAGGGATGAAGATGCAATTAATCATTTGCTTGAATCAGCTCAACTCATTCAGTTCAGCTCAGTTAGTTAGTTAGTTAGAGTTATTGTCATTGCACTCCAGACATGTCCATAGCTGCTCAGATCCTCCTCTCAGTTATGAACCCCAGCATCCAATGACTAGTAGTACCAGTTCTATGTGGATAACAAGTCCTCTGTGTGAGCCTGGTGTGAGCCTGGTTTTTTCTGTGCCGATGTCAACTTTGATATCAGCATGATCAATAGGTTGACCGTCGGTAGTGATAGCGGATCCAGCCAACCTATCAGCTCTTTCATTACCATCGACACTTGCGTGTATCAGACAAAGCAACAATACATCCTTATTGTAAATACCATTATGAAGTCACCAAAGTTCTTGATGTGTGTTAAATAAAAGCCTTTATTGAGAGATCAGCGACACAAGAATAAGTAGCAGGTTTGTCATTTTTCAGACCAATAAAAGGCTAAATTTTCCCTAAAAGAGCACTTGCCAAGTGGTTATGTGGTTTGCAGCTGGGCTGTGATATTTGCACCTTTCATCCAGACAGTTCAAATTTCAGCAGGCTTCTAAACAGTCATCTTTTAGGGCTGCTTGTGATGTGGCAGTGGGTCTGTTGTGCCCACAGTAGGGCCCTGGAACACACTCCTTATATCATGTCTGAATAATTTACTCCCCTGACCGGGTAATGGATCAGGGGATTAAACTCCTTGCAACTGTCTGTCTTTCTGTCTGTCATGTTCTGTCCGTTTATCTGTCTGTATGGTTTTTTTAATCTGTCTCTTTGTCTCATCTGTCTGTCTGTATATGTGGGTATATCCCACTATTCATTCAGCCATCTTTCTGTCGATCAGTCTGAATGTCTAGCTATCTGTCATTCACCTACCAGTCTATCTTGTCATGCTCAACATTTCTCTGTGTTATGTTTCAGGTCTGAAAACAGAAGGTCTCTACAGAATACCTGGCAACAAAGCTCAAGGGGAGCTGTTTGTAAACAGGTTCTCAGCAGGTCAGCTCACTGCTATTTGTTTTCTTGTTGTTGCCCACATTTCAAAAAACGAAAATCATTGTTGACCCTACCAGACCTGAGGCCCTGAACCTAACTGTCCCTTATACCTGAGCTCCTGGGCTTTAACGCGAAAAAGCCAACATGATATACACGAATATTAGTTACATGCAAACAAGAAGTTAGAATAATATGAAACTTGGAGACATTGTAGAAAATAGGTTTTCCTTTCATTTAGCGCCAATATTCCACCTTTGTGTGCCAATCCACCCCGCAGGATAAGCCTTGTTTCACAAAGTTGCACCAGATGTTGCTGTTTGAGGGACACGCCCCCCCCCCCCCCACCCCCAAACCTCTTTCCTTACTATTAATCTAGTTCTAGATCTTTAAGGTTCAAGATTCTCCTCATCATTCAAACTCTCACTGTGTCACTCAATTCGAAAATGTAATCTTTTTAAAATTCTGACTCCTCAGAGTCTGAATCAACCAAAGTATCGATCACCTGTTGGACTGAAAAGCCTACACCTACTTTGCTTTCCTGTCAAAGGGCTTGGTTCATCAGCCGCGCATTTCATTGCTAATTTTCAGAATTTCTTTTTCACGTTAAACCACACAGTGTAAATCCAAACACATGGAAGCAGCCATTTGCAATGACTGACTATAAGGTTTGATCACGATTAGTTGGTTATTTTTAGTTTGTGACACATTTTTTCACGTACGCAAAGTACCGAAAATAGGTACAGTGGTTTAGCGGCAGATTAGAAAATTCAAGTAAAAGCGGTACAGAAGTCTGGTAGAGTTGAGTGTCCCATAAGTTTCCATCCATCTTCTTCTTCTTCTTCTTCTTCAGCCTTCCAAGCCATAGAGGTTCATTGCTGCAGATATCCCCCGTCTCCACTCATCTCTCTGGTTGGCCTTCCCTTTCCAGTTGGTGACATCAAGTGTCTGCAGGTCTGTCTGGACATTATCTTTCCATTGTATTTTTGGTC